GCTATTATGATGAATTATAATTTGAAAGCAGATTGCACATGTTTGATACTTAGTATGAACGACATTGAAAACACAGACTTTCGAGGTCAAGATAGTCTGGTTAAGTTCCGTGACGTTAAAGACTTAAAATGCATGAAGTTACAAAACAAATACGAACAATGATAAAAATACCGCTATATTCAAACAACGAATCGTGTAATGCTCTAACAAAGGTTAGCCTTAAATATATAAGGATCATCAACTATGTGGAGCGTAGCGATATGTCCTAGGGGGTTAATTGACGAGCTCCGGGGGGTGGGGGAGGGTGGATGCAGTCGGAGAGATGCCTGAAAGAAACAGTGTTTAGTGCGCTCGTACTAAACGGCTGACCCTTAAGGGGTCGGTTAAGGGGTTGGTCGAATTATTCTCTATTGTATTATCAATAGTAGGGTCAACAATGTTGTACCAGAATTTCGGTAAAGAAAAAAAAAAAGGGGGGGGGGGGCCGTGGGCGGTGAGGGGTCCAGTGGACAGGGAAGGGGTGCAGTGGATGGAAGGTGGTGAATTTGTCGGAGGGGGAGCTAATCAAGTGAATGTGGAGGGGCGCAGTGAAAACGGAGGGTGGCTGCGGTGGACGTGGAGAGGAGATAAGTGCAGACGCCTGGGGTTCGTGTGATCCATTGTTGGTTGTCCGAGTCCTAACTGTCAACGCTTATGGGTGAAAGTGTGTTTAACTCTCCTGCGTATTTAAGTTTCTCGGAGATTCAGTCTTAGGGTTAAAGTTCTACATCCCGCCTCCACACTTCGACCTCGTTTCCTTGTGTTAAAAAGCAACTCTTACCTAATCCAACTCAAGATTTACTTTATGCATTTCGATAAAGTAAACTCACATATTACTTTGAGGAGGTAGCCTCTACCTAGTAATTTTATTTTTAAATATTGGACTTCTTGTTTTTGTTTTTTTTAAACCCACATATATTTGTGAATATTTTTCATAATTAATATACTTTGATGTGGCGTGAAAGAGCTGTGAATAACATCAGCGGTCATCTCGGGTTACCCATCTTACATTACGCTTCCCTTAATGTAAACAGCGCCTGACTACACTCTAGTTCCCTATTTCCCAACGGGGGGGGGGGGGGCACGCCCCCCGGGGTGGGGGGGGGGCAATTGTTTGTTAAGGCAGGCATTTCGAAAATATGAGCTGTCCTCAATTTGAAAACCAACCGTCTATTTTGATTTAACTTGTATTTTAAAAGAACTCTAGTTCACTATTTCCCAACGGGGGGGGGGGGGCACGCCCCACAGGGTGGGTGGGGGGCAATTGATTGTTAAGGCAGGCATTTCGAAAATATGAGCTGTCCTCAATTTGAAAACCAACCGTCTACTATGATTTAACTTGTATTTTAAAAGGAGAATCGTCAAAGTCTCAATTTAAAATAAGCATCCATTAAAAGTTTTGTCAAAATCATTTACGTTTCTTCAGTGAACAACCCTTTTTTTTTTAATTTTAAAAATTATGTATATGATACACGGGGGCATCAGAATTTTAGAAAGGCTTAGATGGGGCATGGCACAAAAACGGTTTCGGAACCACTGCTCTAGTTAGTGGTACATAATGACAAACTGCAAACGCTCAAGAATATGCACACGTTGTGTTGCTGCAGTTTTTTTTTTTAAATATATATATATATATATATATATATATATATATATATATATATATTTATGTCTCTCTACCCTTTGTACACGCAAGAATGTAAGAATATGTACACGTTGTGTTGCTGCTGTTTTTTTTTTTAAATATATATATATATATATATATATATATATATATATATATATATATTTATGTCTCTCTACCCTTTGTACACGCAAGAATGTAAATGATCGATTTTGTTGTTTGTGCATCTGTCTCTCGTTCACAACATGTAGGCTAATAGGGTATTGGGTGAAAGTCGTTAGAAGTGGCGCCGGGGGCGTAATAGTTTTTAATGTGGGTCAAAGTTAGGTGGGTCAAAGATAGGTGGGTTAAAGGTAGTTAGGGCGAAGTTGTGAGGGTCAAAGATGGAAATTGAAGAAAGGTGGGTCAAATATTGGTGGTCCAAAGAAAGGTGGGTCGAATATTGGTGATCCAAAGAAAGGTGGGTCAAATATTTGTGGTCCAAAGAAAGCTGGGTCAAATATTGGTGGTCCAAAGAAAGGTGGGTCAAAAATTGGTGGTCCAAAGAAAGGTGGGTCAAATATTGGTGGTCCAAAGAAAGGTGGGTCAAATATTGGTGGTCCAAAGAAAGGTGGGTCAAATATTGTTGGGTAAATGATACTTTGGGTAAAAGATAGGTAGGTAGGTCTATCGGTACGTGGGAACGTCTTCTTTTAAAGAATATTAAGACGACCCTTTATGGATTGGACAGCCTGTGTGCTATTGGTTGTCTGATATCGCGCTGATTCTCAAATCGTTCTGCGCATATCCCTATTAGTAAGTTACGTTGTGTCCTGGTAGTACACCGAGACTTAATAAATGAATATGTACCGTGCCATTCTGAAATACGAATATTGTCTACGGTGCTATGTTAAATTGTAGTCATTTCTTTTTCAAGTGGACAAATATTATTTTTTTAAAATTGAGATCCCTTCTTTAATTGTGATTTTTTTTTTTTTTTAACAGCCGGAAGAGTCTGGGACAAGCCTAGTAATATGATGCATTAGTTGATAAGTGTATACAAAATTTAAAGATGAATCACTTTAGATGATTACGGTAACTAGCATTTGTTTTTCATTATTTTTTTCTTTTTCTCTTCTTTTTTGTGATGAAATTTTTCATTGATTACCATCAGAACCTGGTGTCAAAATACGTGAGATACCTTTTATCCATAGGGTAATAAAAATGAAAAGTCGGCTTTCTTCAACATTGGCTCGTGCTTTCCATAAACACGTGAATAGGGTGAGCAGCGAAAGTGTTCATAACAAGGACGGCTTCATATGCTTCGGTTAATATTTTGTGTTGCATACGACAAGGTTTTTGCCTTGAAATAGTAGAAAGTTGTACGTGAAAGTTTGAAAGAAAAAACAACAACAACAACAACAACAACAACAACAGGACAATAAAGTTAGCGCATCTTCTTAAAGTCTTTCATCAGCATACAACCAATCCTGAAGTCTTTCATCAGCATACAACCAATCCTGAAGTCTTTCATCAGCATACAACCAATCCTGAAGTCTTTCATCAGCATACAACCAATCCTGAAGTCTTTCATCAGCATACAACCAATCCTGAAGTCTTTCATCAGCATACAACCAATCCTGAAGTCTTTCATCAGCATACAACCAATCCTGAAGTCTTTCATCAGCATACAAACAATCCTGAAGTCTTTCATCAGCATACAACCAATCCTGAAGTCTTTCATCAGCATACAACCAATCCTGAAGTCTTTCATCAGCATACAACCAATCCTGAAATCTTTCATCAGCATACAACCAATCCTGTTCTTGAATTTCCTTCACACCCGGCTGTAGCGCAGTCCTTTTTATCTAACATCAAGATTTGCGTTACAAGGCTCTAGATTTGAAGTAATATACAATGTTGATCAGAGAATCCCTGAGTACACGGTCATGCGGAAGGAATTTAAGCGGAAGGAGAGCCGTACCGGTGAAATAAATTTCTGGAATTGACGTACACTGTTTTGGAATCAAGTTTTCTCGTCAAGCTTAATTCCCCCCCCCCTCCCACCTTTTTACACTACAGCTGATTCGCAATGTTAACAAACGCGCAGATGTTAATCTGATGTAGAAAAACCAAGTTTGTTTTCTCCGTCATTCCCACTTGTTATGACATTCAAGCGAGAAGGCTTCATGAAGACGAAGACATATTAATAAATCAGCATGAATTTACTTCGGTTGATTCACCAACTTGAAAACAGCTTGGTTGTTGTTGTTTTTTTTTTTAACGAAAAAGGGGGAGGGGTAAATATCATTAACAGCTGTTCTTTAAACTTAATAAACATGTCAGTAAAGAGTGGCGTAAATATATTTGTGGTTCACCTATGTCCCTTCACCAAGAATTAAATTCACAATCTTAAAATGAAAAAAAAAAATAAAAAAATAAAATTAAATAAAAGAGTTTTGTTTAAAATAAAATTGAGGACGCTTGAAAAAAAAAAATGTAGATATTAGTTTGAAATCGCCCGATATTTTAAAAGGGTTNTATATATATATATCGCTTTTTTGCGTTTACAATGACGGTATTTGACACACCATTGTCATTTGACGATGTCAGAATGACATTCTTTTCTAATTCTAGTTTTTTTTTTTTTAATAGTTTATTATTGATTAGATCTACTGATATTTAAAAAAGGTAAAAATAAAATAAATTATGAAACATTACAAATTACTAACAACTAAAAAATAAAGGATTTGCATAAGCGCATTCAGGGTCAAGGCACATCCGAATTCCCACTAGCATCTTTTGTTGCTCTCTGAACAAGTGTAGAGTGATTTTAAAAAACTAAATTCTGATATGCATTTCTAATTTAGCAAAAAAATTTAACTGTTTGGTATTTTTCTTTTGACGATATTTAAAAATGTACATAAAATCACGTGCTTAAAATTAAAAACATTGCTTTATCTGTTTGCGTTATCTTTTATTCTTCCCTGATCATACTGCCTCATCATCATCAGTGGCACTACAATTCATGTAGAGCCATGGCCTGCTCCACCACATTCTTCCACTCTGATCAATCCGTGGCTTTCTGCCTCCATGCGCGGACCCCCAGCTGGTGTAAATCCTTCTCTACATCGTCGAATCATCTGAGTCTTGATTGACCTGTGAGCCGTCTGCCCTGTAGGTCAATTGTATGCTCTACAGTTCAGCACCTTCTCAAGATGTCCTACCAGGGGTACGCAGCCCCTCTTGCTCAATTCATTCAATAGAGAACTCACCTAAGACCCCCGTGTGTCGTGCTCGGTGCTTGCGATTAACTTCATTACTGATACTGGTATTTAATTGTTCTATCATTTTGCAGTGTTATCCAAAGGCGTATCACTGAGACGGCCGAGTTTGCCGAGGTTGACATAGGAAAAGGAGAGCGCCCCAACTTGTTGCAGGTACTCCTCGCAGATGGTCGCCTCGACTTTCCGGCGTGTGTCTCCATGGTCACGGGATTCTTCTCCACGGCAACAGACAACGTAAGTTTGACTCTTGTGGATTTGGCTATCTGAAGAACGGGGTTTTATTGTTTAAAATTTCTCGAAATCGAAGCCACAGTTGGACATACGTGTTTGAGACGCAGGGCCGCGGGAAGGAGGGCACTCACCATGGACGCCCACTACGGGGAGGGGGGACGCCAAAATCATCCTTAGGCTGGAATTTAAAATGAATAAAACTATAAAATGTCATGAATTTCACAAATACGACAGGCGAAAAAATAGACTTTTTACTGGTCCTTCCAGGTGGGTACTTTTTTTTTTCATTGAGAGACGACATTTCTTAGGCTTTGCCTTTGGCGATTTTCCTCAACACGGCAATGTTGGGACGGCAATCTTGGGACGGCAATGTTGGGACGGCAATCTTGGGACGTATCATCCTAAATAATTGGACTTGAACTTTTTTTTTAAAATGTAAAAATACGCCTTCATTGTGGCATCAACACAGACAGTGGCGTAACAAGGGCTTGGCATTGGGGCAGTTGCCTAGGGCGCCGGCCTGCGCCAGTTCAAAAGGGCGCTGCTAAATCTCTAATTTTTAAACTTTTATTTAAACAAAAGGGCGCCAAAAATAAATTAGCCAAGGGCGTCAAAAACCCAGTTATTCTCCTGAACACGGATTAAGTTATAAAGGCTACATTCAACCAAGACTTACTCCATAAAACATATCAAAGAAAGACCTAATAATGGCGTCTGTAAAAAGAATGTTTTCACATGACCTTTTAACGTCAATGGAGGAAAATTGTTTTTTATTTAAATGAGTACTATATCTACCTTGACCATATTACCCCTAAGGACATAAACAATATCTGCTATGAAGCTATGACACACTAGGGCGTATACAAAAATCTACTATTAACCTGTTACCAATAGAACGTTACAATATCTAGTATGAAGCTATTACACTAATTTACACCACAGGGCATATTCAATGCAGACATTATATATATACACGCGCATATATTTCGTGACAGTTGGTGGTAATTTCCCACTTTTCCTCTTGCAGTGTCCTGCACTGACCCCTTTGTTGCCTAGTTCAGTATGTTTCTCTTAACATGACGTGGTGCACTTTAACCTCTTGTGTCACATTCGACAGCCCCCCCCCCCGCCCCACTTGGCGTCCTTTTGGATTTTGTTCCCCCCTGCATTCAAAATTGATAGTTAAGCTTTTTTTTTAATTTGTTGCATATAAATATATCGCCTCACTTCCAGTGGTGCACTTTAACCTCTTGTGTCACATTCGACAGCCCCCCCCCCGCCCCACTTGGCGTCCTTTTGGATTTTGTTCCCCCCTGCATTCAAAATTGATAGTTAAGCTTTTTTTTTTAATTTGTTGCATATAAATATATCGCCTCACTTCCCGGCAGCCGCAGAATCTGCAGGGTCCACGCGTTGCCTCTGGGTTTTCTGACCTCACAGTGACAGATCAAGAATTTATTTCCATAAATATATTTTTCTATTGTGTCATCAGATCTCGAACACCTTAAACCTGGTCCTGTGGCACTTGGCTAAAAATCCCCAGGTGCAGGAGAAGCTGAGAGAAGAAATCAGGTTACGCGTGGCGTCCACTGAGGTGGTCAGTCCAGATGAACTCTCGCACATACCCTACTTGAAGGCGTGCCTCAAAGAGAGCCAAAGGTAAGACTGTGTTATGCTCAGAGAGATATTCTTCTCGGTGGTGAACGTCCAGATAGGAAATTGTATGCCTATAATGTTCCTAACGTTGATAAAAAAATAAATACATAGTATTTTCTGGGCATCATGAGGGAGTATCTTGGGTGACTGCCCACACTTTTGTCCAAGGACTGGACCCCCAAGTGAAACTGCCATCGTATTATGATCCTAGTCTCGTTCGGCTATCTGTTATCTATTTTGGACTGTGAAAATCTATTACTTCAACTTCAATCCCAGAGTCAGAGGACTCCCGGGTGTAGACTGGCATGCTATTGACTTTAAACCCAGATTCAGATGACTCCCGGGTGTAGACTGGCATGCTATTGACTTCAAACCCAGATTCATATGACTCCTGGGTTTAGACTGGCATGCTATTGACTTCAAACCCAGATTCAGATGACTCCCGGGTTTAGACTGGCATGTTATTGACTTCAAACCCAGATTCAGATGACTCCCGGGTTAAGACTGGCCTGCTATTGACTTTAATCACAGATTCAGACGACTCCCGGGTTTAGACTGGCATGCTATTGACTTCAAACCCAGATTCAGATGACTCCCGGGTTTAGATTGGCTTGCTACTGACTTTAATCACAGATTCAGACTACTCGCGGGTTTAGACTGGCATACTTTTGATATCAAACCCAGATTCAGATGACTGTCGGGTTTAGACTGGCTTGCTACTGAAATTACCAACTTAATTGAGTTTTTCTTTTAATTGTCAAAAATAGATTAAAATGTTATTACTTTTTTTTAAAATTAACCCAAGGAAAATGTTCTTGATTCGTTTCAGGCTGACCTTCCCAACACCTCTTGGAAGTATCCGAGCCATGCCCGAGGATGTCACTTTGGCAGGATACCATATTCCTGCTGGGGTAAGTCCGAGAACAGGGGAGTGAGGGGGGGGCGGGAATGCGCAGCTTCGCTAATAATATCTGGTTCATAACCAAGGGTTTCATTTTCTTGTGTGAGGGACACATGGATTGTGTCATTGATGGAGAAACCGCGCCTTAGCTGAATGTCATTGATGGATTCGTTGTAATTTAAGGCTGTTTTGTTTGTTTCTTTTTTAAATTATTGACAGATATTTTATGTTATTACATGAGAAAATCTGAGAACTGATATTATTTATTATGTATGCATTAATTCTGTAATTATTGACGAATGTATGGGTCCTGTTACATACCGCCCCATGATTTTGAAAATTTTATTTAATTTGGCTTGATTTTTTTAACTATAAGTCACAAATGACTGAAAAAATTAATCTCAAATGACTGAACAATTTTTCAAATGACTGAACAATATATCACAAATGACTGAAAACTAGTATATAAAGAAAATAGTTAACAAAGCTAGTGATATTAATAATATTCAATTTAATTATAATATTAAATTTATATTAATAATTAAAAATTAATGGACAGAAATAAAATTGTATCAACGTAGAGCATAGCAAGTGAAAACGTACAATCCTTAAAAGGTACAAATATTAATGTACACACACACACATAAGAGTACAATATAGTAAGTATATTGCGTCTTGTAAATGTCTAGAGAAAGTAGCAAAAATATGTCCCTGCTAGGGAAGCTACTGGTATATATATATATGTAGTAAGTTAGAACCCTTCTGAAAATAAATTCTTGAAATTTCGTCATTTGATAGCATTCCTAAGAACAAATTAGAAGGTAAGCGAAGGCAAACAACCTATTCTCATTCATAGGAGGGACTGGTAAAAAGGATTGGCGCTACACATTTTTAATGGGTGACGCCAATAGCCAAACAAAAAAAAGGGAGGGGAGGTAAGGTCAACTGACATGCCTAGTGGTCAACAAAAACTAGGTCAGCACACAGACTATAACAGTTACATTTTTCGTAAATACTTAAACTTAAACAGACAGGTTGAAGCTATGGTTTTAAAAAAGTACTTAAAGCTGGACCTTTTGTTAGTAAGAAATAAACTGAAATAATAATAATAGTAATAATAATTAAGAAATGTGAAAAGAGAATTCAGCATTCAGTGTACAACTTAAGATGAATCAAATACGCCACACGGCTAGTCCTTTAATTTATAGCATCTCTGATTGTTGGGTCAATTTCAGGTTGTCAGGCGGGCTTCCAATATTATAAATTATGCATAGAAAACGAACTGTGTCTTCTGTTTCCCCGGTTCACATTCACGTACTTGATCGGTTCACATTCACGTACTTGATCGAATTTAATTTATCGTGTGATTTAGCATTGATTTTTTTTTTTGGCAAGTAGCTTTAGATCTTGCTGGAGAGTAATGAGCATGACCTGCAGCATCAATTGTCGTTAAAACTATTGTTGTATGTTCTCGTTTATTAAAAGCGCATAATTTTCAGTTGCTAGTTATAAGGCCTTATGTTTTGGTGCTTGATGTTTTGGTGCTTGGTGTTTAGGTCCTTTATGTTTTGGTGTTTGATGTTTAGATACTTCATGTTTTGGTGTTGGATGTCTTGGTGTTTGATGTTTAGGTGCTTTATGTTTTGGTGCTTTATGTCTTGGTGTTTGATGTTAAGGTGTTTTATGTTTTGGTGTTGGATGTCTTGGTGTTTGATGTTTAGGTGCTTTATGTTTTGGTGCTTTATGTCTTGGTATTTGATGTTAAGGTGCTTTATGTTTTGGTGTTGGATGTTTTGGTGCTAGATGTGTGGACGTTTGATATTTTGTTGCTTGATGTCTTGATGCTTGATATCTGAGTGCTTGATATCTGAGTGCTTGATATTTTGGTGCTAGATGTCAGGGTGCTTGATGTTTTAGGGTTTGGTATTTACTGGATTAATTTTTTGAGTGCTCGATTGGTGGGAAGGGCTGTGCTTGATTTTTTGGGATGTGAGCCTTGCAGGCTTAATGTTTGGGACTTAATATTAAGAAAACTGCTGTCTATCAAACTTTCTTATTGTGATTTATGTTGTCGAGAATGTGGGGTTTTCAACTGGTGTGTGTCTGTGTCGCGGATTGTTCAACGTGGCTTTGCCCTTTATAATAAAATTAACGAGGATAGTGTTGGTAAATTTAACACTCATAAATAACAACATCGTGATATTACAAAGATGAATTGTCGTGCATGCCATTGTTGTTGTTGTTGACACCAATGATTGGTCGTCTGCCGCTAGCAATGTTTGAAACATGAGGCTAAGCTCAAAAGAATCTGAAATTTTTCTTGGTCTTATTGCCACCATTTGTCTTGTTCACATTACCGATGGTTTAGAATATCAAGTTCTCATTGACTTTGGTGTTACGTTTAGGGCAGTGTTCGGCAAACTCATTAGTCAAAAGAGTAAAAATTAGAAGCAGGCAGGGCGATTAAAAAATTTTTGAGAGCAAAACTTCTTGTCAAGAACCATGTTTTTTGGAGTCAAAGACGATTTGTGGCCAACTGGCCGAGCAGCACTCAGGACGTTAAAGAGCCGCATGCAGATCACCGCGATTTGCCGACCATGGGTCTAGGGCTAGGGTTACCATGCGCCCAGGTTTCCCCGGACATGGTCTCTTTTCAGGCCCCTATCCGGGCGGTTTTCCAGAAATATGGCTTTTTCCCGTGTTATATACTATTCTGTTCCATGAACTAAACGCGCGCGTCAGCAATATTTAGTTCAATGGTTAGGGTTATTGAGGTAACCATTGAAACTTCTGGTTCCGGAAGCCATTTTTTTGTACACGTAACGCTTAATCATAATGGTAAAGCAAGTTCATAATAATAATAGTTGCACTAAATGTTGGATTTAAAAAATGCCGTGACGTAAATGTTAATTTACAGACGCACTGAAACCCCAAAACCCAGGTTTTCTTGCAGGTCGATATGACTGGGAAGCTGAGAATCTGAGGATGATTGAAGGTTTGACATGCGGCAGCGGAACTTATTTCTCCGTTGTCAAGAACTGTGCACTGCATTTAAATGAGTGTCGACATGCCTAAGCATGTTTAGGGAATTCTCGGAAACATGCATTTATGAAAGTTACTTAAACTTAATTGGCTTTTCACGCTGCCAAGCACAATCAAAGCAATAAATCAATGGCTTATTAAGAACAATTTTACATGATTCTGATACTGCCCGCAAAAATCATTTATTGTAATGTAAAGTGTACTGGGCACTCGCTACTACACGTTTATAATAAAAACTATTTACACAAATTACACTATTTGATGTAGTTTAACTTTAACTTTACTTTTTTATTTGTACAATACTTACAATCGGCGTAGCACTAGGTGCGGGCTACGGGTTTGATAACCGGATTTAAATCAACATTTTGTGTGTCCTATTTTTCATCTGAGCATTAAAGACTAAAAAAAATTTTTCCGAACTAAAAAAGGAATATTTGGACCACAGATAAGGAAATGAAAAAACAACAATTAGCAACGTAAAAAAAACCCCCAAAAAATTTTAATAATAACTCTTACTTAAACTATTTTTTTAAACGTACCAGAAGGTTGGATAAAGTTTATGCAAAAAAAAATCTGGCTACCCAATGAATGTTTGATGTCAGGAAAGCGGAAGTAGTTAATAAGAAGATTGGCCCCATCCATATTTCCGTTCCTCATTCTGTTTAATTTAGTATTTAATTTTTACAGAGCACCTGTAAAGCAAATTGTGCCATTCAGGTCATAGCAATTATCATTGATATATGAGTCTATTGTTGCACCTGCCAATAGTGGAGTTTTGTGGTGGTGCACACCATAATATTTTTTTTAAATTCATAAATCAAACGTACTTTCTCCTTTATTTTAGACATGGGTCAATTTCGGCCACAACGTTCTGGGACATTCAAGAGAATATTTCGAAAAACCTGAGACCTACATGCCTGAAAGATGGTTGAAGCAGCCAATCACAATTGGAGAAAAAATTCTCAAGCGTCGTCAGTCTATCATCACCATGCCCTTTGGATTCGGCAAGAGAAATTGTGTTGGCAGACGTCTTGCCGAGCAGCAGATTAACCTGGCCTTGATCAAGGTAAATGGAACTTAAAAGTTTTAACAAAAATACCCAGTACCACATTGTTCGAAGGAGAACAAAATTGCAGATAATTCTATTGTATCATCAGCTGTATTACTTTAATATAAGCTTTCATTATATAATTATATTATATAATTATATAATATATACATAAAAATTGATAAAAATATGAGTGAGTAGTGGTGTACTGTATTTCAAATCTTTCCATCTCTCCGGTATATACAGCATTATTAAAACAGAATTATATTACCTGGGTAAACATGACCTCCACTGCCACCCCACCCTCAACACCACCACCCTAATACCCCCCACCCTCAATAACCTCACCCACCCACCTGTCCACTTATTTTTTTTTTCAATAATTTTTTTTCATTTATCAGATTCTGCAGAACTACAGACTGACATTGGGAAACCCTGACGAAGAATTAGACATCATCTACAAGATAGGCGCCATGTCATCCAAACCACTGGACATACAATTCTTTCCCCTGAACTCCCAGGTGTCGGAGAAAGAATGAAGATCAATTATAGTTTGACAGATTGGGTGACTTACACCTTCCTTTCATGAGTATGAGGCTGTTGACACTTGTTAACGTGTAATTATGTTATGAGTCATGTTCATATGAAACGAATTATTAACAAGGTGCCAGATTTTGTTTCCATGAATTGTTGAACTGTCATTTGTTGTTAAATCTAAACAGCTTTAAGCCTTACTGATACATTCCTTTTTGTGCCAGGCGTTTACTTAAAAGATAATTATGCCTAACTGAAGTCAGCTTGGTAAAAGAAGTTGCTCACAAATGAAGTGTTAAGGAGAGCTTCAATAAATGAACCAGTTTTATCATTTTACTGCTGCTGCTTTAAGGAAAACATTCAATCATTGGCGTACGTAATGAAAACAGTCAATCATTGGCATACGTAAGGAACAGTAACTTAAAAAACTGGACCAAATAAATTGAGCTGTCATCTGAAGTATATATCTGCAATCGCTTTTATCTCACTTCATTAATAATTTTTTTTTTTTAAATTTACTTCTGGCCCACTTTTGTTATATAAGTTATATTGTACTTAATTTATTGTAACGTTTAGAGATGTACCCCCCACTTTTTGAGTGAGCTGAAATCTGTAGTGGTGAGCAAGAGAAGAACTTTAACCATTATTACAAATATTATTTCATAAATCAACTGAATATAATTTATAAATAACCTGGAAAAAATAATGGCCATGGCAGTGTGCAAACGTCCCACCTACTTAAGTGACTTGACGAAACATGCATTCAAGTACCCACACTTTATAAGAATCCCAATTAGTGCTTACCCCATCTCAAGTACGCCACAGTGCACTTTTTTCATGCCACAGAACACTACTAACATTTTACTGTCCCACCCACTTTGACACTGCAGATGTATTGCACCATATTTAATTTCGTACCTTTTCCATAAAACCAAAGGAAATATTAGGCATGAAACTAATTTTATTTTGCATGCTTTTGAACTCACCATTATACCATTCATTCATACCTTGAGAATTATTAGTTGATAGATTTTTAAGATGTGCCATGAAGTATTTTTGAAGTTAAAGTGATAATATTTTTAAGACAATGGAAAACTTCTCTTGAAAGTATCAAATTAGTCAGTTGTTAAAAATTTCAATAGATATTTTAGAGTTTTTTAAAAAGCTCTTTTTAACTGTACTACATTATAATGCGCCCCCCACCTCCAAGTAATTAAGTATGTAAATATATTTATATATATGTTCAAATTACTCACTATTTTTTAATTAAGATAATTTTTGTCACATGAAAATAATGGAAAAGATTAACATGGCAGGCTTCCTGGCTCAATGGGGAAATGGAAGTAATTTTTTACAATTATAAATGTCACGTCTTAGTTAACATGTTGAAGAGTAACTTTGTCACCGTTAACATTTTATCCACACATTATGGATAGTTTGCTCATGAGAACTAACTATTTAAGTTAAGGCTTTGGCATTTACATTTCATAGTGGACATATGAGAGGGTTTTCCATTAATTATGTCAAGAAAATGGGGGGGGGGATTTTTTAAAAACATTTATTGACAAGTTGGAAATCCTGATATTTTAATTGCTGAATGCTTAGACTAGACAAGGATAATGCCAGCTAGTTCCGTCAAAATATTAATTTGGCAATCAAAAACTATTGCAAAAGATGAAAATTTGGCTTATCAACGTAAAGATGGAAAAAAAAACCTGGCAATTAAACTTATTAACAATAATTTTTAAAGATTTTCTATTCTCAAATCTAGTAATGCAAATGTAAAATTCACTCTAGTAATAGATTCTATTTGTTACAAATTTATAATTTGTTAAAGACGTTTTTAAAAATCTAATAAATATGTTGTTCCCTGCCTTAAAAAATCATATTTATTCACTTTTTCTTTTTTGAAGGTGGGGGTGTGACAATTGTCAACATAATTAACGAGGGGATCCTTTAAAGTTTGACAGTTGTTGACAAGAGAGAGAGAGAGGGGGGATTAAAAAATTTTGACATAATTAATGGAGGCCCCTTATATTAAACTTGTTATAGGAAATACATATGAATAACTTGGCATGGTTTGGACATCAGACTTACAGACCTGTTTACTCTTACGATTTTGGCGTACAATGTACGATTTTGAGGTGTAAATATATATATACTGTATGCTTATTTTTTACTCTAAATATAGGGTATTGAACAATTTTGTGATGATGTTGTACGATTTTAAGAGTTTGAGGGTAAACAGGTCTGGACTTAACTTTTCAAGTTTAAGACGTTGGACATTGGTTGGTATCTGTAAAGAGTTAATATGTCATAGTAAAAACGTTAACATAAAAACGTTTTTGATATGTTCTAGAAATATTTGAAACAAATGTAAAACTGCTAAAACTGAAGGAAAAGTGTTGTTTTTTTTTTATTGCAATGCTTAATCCTGCAATTCATCATTATCCTAATTTGGAGGGCTAACAATTTTTCACCCCACAGCCACTGGTTCAAATTACTAAAAATTGTGTATGTGAGAAAAGATGTGGGAGCTGTGTGCATAGTGCTATTTTTGCACTTCTTAAACTAAGGGAGATAAGGGCGTGTGTAAAAGAAATGTAGGATAACAGAAATTGAGTGAATGAAGTGCAAAAAAAATTGAATGAATACAAAAGAACTTGAATGGATGCAAAAAACGTGAATTGGTGGAAAAATTTAATGAATGCAAAAGCAAATTTAATGAATTTCAACTTATGACAGATAATAAAAGATTTGATTTATTTTGTAAATGTGTTTAGATGGATACCAGATTGTTTAAAAAACTGTACTTGTAGGATTTACTTAACGATGCTTAAGGTACATCATTTGCATGAGAGTAACCTGTTTTAAGCTGACTGCTTTTATTACAAAATTTGAGATTTGATGTATTATTAGTTGCACCTGTATATAAACATTAGTTGGACTTAAAAATGGCTAATAGCATTTCTATAATTATGTTACAAAAATTTGTTACTAAGACTAAGAATTAATTTGTTTTTTCTGTTTTCATGTTGATGCTCAGTTGATGTTGTAAATAATTTCAATAATCTAATTATCAAATCTGATCATTCACTTCCTACATATTCTTTGAAAATTTGTTTGAAAATAACTTTTGTCTGTATCATGTTAAATAATTGTTAAAATAAACATAGTAATTGCTCCCCTTTGTGTAACAACCATTTTTTTTTCCTAATCTTAGTTTCCACCTTTTGAAATAAATATATAATTCTGTTTTTAAAAAAATTACATATTCTTATTGGTTTTTATTTTACTTTATGAATTTATTATATTGATTTATCATTAACTTATTACCTACGGTAACAGCTAAGACTATTTAAGGGTTTATGAGTAAGAACATCAACCAGTCAGATCCTGACTTAAAACTCTGTCTCATCACAATTAGCCCTTGTTCTGTGAAGTTATGTAAATAAAGACAAACTTTCAATATAAGGATGCTGTGTGGTTAAAACACAATGGCATGTGTCTTTTCATGCTGGAGGATTGTAGTTTGAGTCCTAGCCTAAGACAATTTAACTAGATCTTTTTTTGTTGCACATTTGAGAATAAACATTATTTATTAAAGAGTTATGTTGATTATCTTATACAAACTAAATTCATCATTTTAAAAAAAATGCACCTCAGCTAGCAATGTTAGGCTGATCATGAGAACCGATTTTCTATGATAAAAACCAAAAGAAGGAACCAATTTTCTATGATTGAATCAATTATCTATTTGTGCCCCATTAAAATTTGTTAAAATACATAAGACCCAAAATTTGATATCTGCAAAAAGATTTTAAAAATTGTTGCTTGCATTTTAAATAATAATAAAACCATGAAAAGGACGATTTTTAAGAAAATGTATAACTTCTCTTTGAAATACGCTTAAATTCATTTTGTACAATTAATTTAAGGTGTCGTTTGCATAATTGATAATCTTTTAGGAATTAAAAATCAAACACATTTAAATACATAAAAAGAGTTTAGGCAAACGCATTTTCATTGATCCTGTATTGGACTTGGAGATTATTTACCAATTCTGATTTATTTTATTTTGATTTGAAAAAAGTCAAATCAGTTTTATACAATGTATTATTGTTATTTCCCTTGTGGACATTGTAACATTGCATACATGTGATAATTGCATGGCATACGATAAGACAATGGGGGATTTATCCCTCTATTTATTTTAGGCTGAAATTATATTGACATGTTGCTGTGTTCCAACGATGACCCAAACTGTGACACAACTGCTCATTCATTTATTCATGCAGCTGCTATTATTTGAATAATTTGAGTGCAGGGCTAATCGTCCTAGTGGCATATGTTAAGTGCAATATGTAGTTTAATTTAATGTATGAAAATAAAATTACCACTTTAAACATGTTTTAGGGGCATTGTTTGTAGCTTTTAATGCGTTAAAAAAGATATTCACATACATATGACGATGTGAGATTAATCAAGTTTTAATTGAA